AAACGAGTACACAAACTAACAGGTGGATCAAAGGAAATGAATCCTTTCATATTTTTTAATTTTTTCCTCTGAAATACAGTCTTTAAAATTATATATTTTTTTTTAATCAAAAAACTCTTTGTTAAATTCTCTAGAAATCCATGCATTCTTGGTTACAAAATACGTTCTCCTTAAGTTTTCAAAATCTGATACAAGCGTTTTATGAAATCATCGCAACTACTTAAAACATGTTTTTTTTAAAGTTTTTCTCACTCCAATTTTCAATTTTGGATCATTCCGTAGCTTCAACAAGTTTATTTCATATACTGAGCATGTGGGTGCATGTAAGTGAAGAGATGACCTACAACCACAGTGAGATCCGCATCTACGCACTCACATCCTGGAATTCTCGTAGTGTTACCTGAGGAGATGCGAAGTTGAGGAACATTCGAAAGTGGGTGACAAAGACGGCTTCGTCATTCGGCCCTAGAACAAGCTACAGATCTAAAAGTTTCAGTATTCGACGGAGAATAGTTAACACTAATAAAAGTTATAATTCTGTTTACACTCCATAGAAATATTTGAACCAGAACAATGTCACAAATTAGCATTTTTCTGTAGCAGTTTCTAAGAAAACAGAACACGAGAAAAAGAAACGTCCGGTACAAAAATTGATCATTTCAACGAATAGTATCTATGCTGAAATTTTCAGACTTCTATCATTTGAAATAGAAGAGCTACACAAGGTCTATTTTGGCTAGTAGGTCTCCCTGTCTTTCTTCATTTGGACTTCTTTGCAAGGCTTTCAAACTTTTTTGAACCTACAGGTATACTTGCAGACACAAGTCCTAAAAGCTCTGAAAATTTCATTTCATTTGGATAAAGTCGATGTAAACTCTAGTACTCTGTCGAAAGAATTAACCCAGTTTAGTACCATTGGTAATGTTGTAGAACAATCGTTATTAATTGTTCATACAGCTCGATGTCAACAAGGTGATTCAAGTATCTGATATCTACAAAGATCAAAGCGATTCGCTTCGCACCTAAATGTGTTTGCATTGGCTGCAAGATGGATGGCATGACACGACACTAGAAACTCAGTCGTATCGCTAGATAAAAAGAAATTTCTATGCTTTTCGGAATATTCATAAAGCTTCTAGTATTTCGATTTTTTTGTTTGTTTCTGGCTAGTGTAGCCTCTTTGTATGCTAGTCATTTGTCCCTTTAGAACCGACACGATCAGATGGTTAAATAATACAATAAAAAATCTTTAGTCTCTACCCTATCCTCACTTTTATTCAGAGATTCATTCTTATCCTCATTCCTTCTATTAGACATTAAAATGAATACTGAGATTTGTAAAAAAAAAAAATGCACGAAGCAGCTGTAGCCTAACGTCGATGGTCGCATATGACGAATGTTACACCTACTTAGTTATGATGATACAGAATGAAATCTAAGGGTGACAGACATTTAATAATGCGAGAATAACTAAACTTCGTTCTCATATGAAATAAAAAGAAAGAATGTATTAATTCTTTTTGCAATTGAAAGCCTGTACTTTTTTTTACTTTGAAGGCAAGGACTAAAACTTATAACATCTGCATTATCTTTTGCGTAGTCTCTAAGCGGAAAGAGAGTATACTTCTTTCACTGTACAATAACAATATATTGGATTTTGTCGAACCTTCTGGATGAAAAAAGAAAATTGAAGATTCAGTATGATAAAATCAAGATTCTATGTTGAGATTTTTTTTAAATCTCAATTCTTTAGATAAAAAAAAGAAAAAAAGAAATTTTTGGCATAAAAGACATCAGATCCTGAGTCAAGAATGTCATAGAAAAGAATTCTTCTAGGCTTTCTTTAGTTTCATATATGAAATCAAATGATATCTAAAACTATTATGATTAAGATTTGTCATTGCATAAAAAAATTTTCAACTGATGCCTGAAATATTAATGGAATTCTCGATTACATCTAGAGAGAAAAACCATCAGCTGCTGATACAAGGATAACAATAAATACAAAGTATGCATAGACTCTCGCTGTAAGACAATGAGTTTCATAAATTGTCTAGTAAATTATCTAGCATCATTCGATTCAAAAAACGAAAGATTAATCAATTTTTCATTTTCTTCTCCTTGATATGTCCATTATATTATATACCTTATATATGCAAACGATAGTTGTTGTTGTTATTATTGATGCGGCAAGAAAGCCAAAAAAAAAACGACTGTTCGAGTGTATCTTTCTAACGTCATCGTATACAAGAAGAAAGAAAAAAAGGTCATCCTAAATATATATATATATATATATATAGCTTATTTTTTTCTTTCGTATAAGTATAACGGTTATTTGATGTAGTATATAGAAAAGAAGCGTTAATTATTAACAAAAGAATTTTTTTTCCTAATCCTAAGAAAACAAGTCGTTTTTGGTATTCATCATCGTCAGAAATAATAATATCAAGGCGTTATCCTACCCATTTTTTTTTCTCTGAAAAAAGAATAAAAGAACATAAATAACTTAATGCTTGATAAACAAATAAATTTTGTTAAGTAAAAAGCCGTAAATATACAAGTAAAAAATCTAATTACTCAATTATTGTATTAATAAAGCTTTTGTTGCTTTTCGTGATCATCCTCGTTTTCTTTTTTCACCTAAAGGTATATCCACAAAATGTCAACCTAATTACTATACCAACAATTTGTACGCAAATACTTAGGATTGATCAAAAGTTCTGATCAGGCTGAATGAAAATAGAAAAATAAAGAGATATTTTTAATTTTATTCTATCAAATGTTCAGAATAGTTGTCGTAATTAGTTGTACCAAGTTCGATGCTCTCTAATAATTTGTTAAAAGTTTGTTTGAACTCTTTTTCTAAAGTATTTTTTATTCTTTTGAAAATAGTGTGAGCTAATCATATTGCATTTATTAGATCAGTTAAATTACGCTTTATATAATCATTTAGCCAAAACAAAAATATGTAGTGCAATGGCTAGTGTGTAAGCTGATGTGACATTATACTGATACCTTCTTCTATTAAATAAGTAATAACATTTAAATGAGTATGAGGTAGAATGTTATTGTCAAGCAATTTAAAAATTCTTGTATCTGATGACTATCTATGTTTCTATTTCATTGACAAGACGTTTGAAGCAATGTTCAATATAATACTTTTGATTTACAGTCTTGTTCTTATCTGTAACATGTATAAGAACAGGATCATTTTATTTAAAGGATATATAAAACAACTTTTTCTTCAAGTGTGTCTGCATAAACAATAGTCTCTAAAGGCTTGTATACACTAATCCAGCTAGAATTGCATGATTTGCGACTAGTCTATCTAAAATAAATGTATACCCCATCAATAGAAATATTGGGATGTCATAGATATGATCTTTCAAAAACGTTCTAACTTTTTTGACAATTTCTTGAAACGTAGTATATCTTAGATCAGGATTCGACCATTTTCTGTCGCGATTCGCCTAGGGATCAATTCCAACAAAATCAACACTGGTTCCAAGTAGAGCTCAGCGAGCTCTTTCGATTGCATATTGTGTTCACTCGATATTGATATAAAGGGCTAGCGAGAAAATCGCTGACTTATGTATGACTCAGAAATTTTTTCTATCTCATCGTCATGATTCGAAGAGAGTGGACACTGGGTGTGGGACATGGGTGGAACTTACTTTAACCCTTTGCGGACGGTGTTACATACGTTGCACCACCTATTTTTCAGGAAAGAAAATGTTTTCTCTCCTTTAAACTGTTATGGTGGGTGTGGGCGGGTGAGGGGATATGGGGTGTGGGCAGAGTGAGTATCTATCCCTACAATCCACACCATAACCTACACCCCATATCCATCCACACCCTCTCTCCTTCTTTGTCGCATAGTATCCTATCTGTGTATTTCCATATTCCACGTGATACATTGCTGCTTCTATTTCTCAGTTCCATATGTTCTGTTCTATAGTTCTTTATGTAAGATATTGTTCTCCATGATGTTCGGAGAGCAAGGATTAATCCACAAGATTATTGCTGTATGTGGCTTATATTTCAGATTGAGACATCACATCAGCGTTTGACTTTTATCAGTTATCCTCTAATCCTTGACCATTGGTCTAGTAAGACACACACTGGCATTCACTCTACATTATATATATATATAGATATTTCTTATACTTCCTATACTCCCTACGTTCTAATAAAGTCTACATAATTATAGAATTTGCTAGGAATGAACAATACTCGATTTAACCTTTGACCTTTGGCCATTAACCTTTTACTGCTGATCCGGGCACAGACACAGAGCGAACACTATATATAGATAATTTTCCTTATACATGATAATATCTGTCAATACCTTAGTATGATCTGTTTAAGTGATATCTGACTTCGGAAGATTAATCAACATACTGTAGTAATATTTGAATATTAGATATGACATCAATCTTAATTATGATATCGCACTATGTGCATTTGCATTTATATATTTAACAAAGCATTCTTCAAATTTTCTAGATATTCAATTCAATGTGGTACGACATTGAATATTTATTTGAATCAAGTTCGATTACAAAAAATAGCTTATAGGTGGTATAAATCATAGTTATATTTAATTATTAAAGATAACAACAAAAATTGTCTCATAAGCCTAAATAGACATCGGATTGTTTTTCATGTAGAAGTATCCAGTTGTCATTGAAACATAATCTTCGTCTGCAAATAAATCGAATACATAATATTATTTTATCTGAGATTCGATCCTTTTCAAAAAAATAGCTGAAAACTGATTTATAAAACGAAAAAATTATTCTTTGATATAATTTTTATCTCATCTGACAACCAAATGACTTCACTATATACGAAAATCTGACAGTCTTTGTGTGATTATCAATAAGCAAGAGAAGAATTAAGATAATATCTCGATTATATTTTAAATTGTAAAGAGTATTACAACTTCAAAGCAAGATATTCTTGATTATTGATTAAGTGTTTAATCAATTGAATAGTAGTCATGCCACAGGCGTCGATTCAGGATGTTGTTGAGCTCTTCGTTCCACTTCTTGCTTAATCATCGTATGTTGAATATGCATTGGCAGGCCTGGATTCAGACTCAAAGAGTAAGGTAACAGCGTTTTAGGCATATCACCAAAATCGACCATCACCTTGATGAACATTGTATCATCTCGAACATATGGATTTCCTTCTTGTTGAATCATCGCTAATGGAAAGAACTTTGGTATACCACTTGCTATATTCATCTCCGATCTTGGTCGTTGAAAACTATTCGATCTAATGTCTGGTCGAAATGAATCAATAATATGTCGTTGTTCTGGAGTTTGGTCATACATACAAAACGTCACTTTATAGGCGAATGGAAATTTGAGAATTGGATCATTCAAACTCCTCATCAGCACGAAAAAGAGTGACATATGTGTACGACGAGCATTGCCATCACCATTAATGTATAAACGCGCCCGCATTTTATAGCCCGTAAGTGATGAATAAAATGGTGGAGAATATATCGAAGCTTGTCGTTCAGATTGTGCATCAGCTAGAAATTAAGTAAAACAAATCAGTAAAGAAGAGTAGAAATACATAGAAAAGAAATTTGACTAATCGACAATATTAATAACAAGCTGGATCTCGCGCAAATTGCACACTGCTTTTTTAAGACTATCCTTTCATAGTCATGAACTTAGATATATGTCCTCTCTTCTCACTAACATGTTCAACTCTTTCTGTTGTCGCGTTCTGTGTCGACTAGCTTTGACCTTTGACCCGGTAAGAGGCACTCGACACGATGTGTATAGATTCATTTCGTTAACGCGTGGACCTATGATTTGTGCATTGCATCCGTCAGTGATTACATAGTATGCAAATCGTGATATTGAATCGTATGTTTAGTATTTGTCGATGTTGTATAAATCGAATTACTTCTCATTCACTGATTATTCTTTTGACCCATATTCTACTTTATCAGCCATAATAAGTGATTGTTTTACTTACTCATTTTCTCTTGAAAGTTTGTAATTTTCCATATAAATGTTCCATCATATGAAACATATTGCATGTCATTAATCTTTTCTTTCAGTGATGTTAAATCTTGATTGAGAATGTCTTGATTCTGTTTCACTCCTTCCAAAAAACTGTGTGATTCTTCCACTGATAATTTAACTTGCGAGAAGTCTTCTACCAATGTCTGAAGTTTAATTTGACATTGAAGTAATTCATTACTGATACGTTGTCCATCATCGTTCAATGTTTCAATACCACCTACCAAGATGTTAAGTGTTTCATAAAACTCCTGTAGTTGGATTAAAGCAGGATCACTAGTTACCGCAGTTGTTGTTCGAGTGACATCAGTCTCCATCTTTGTATCGAGCAATTGTGATCTCATGTGACGAACTACTTTAAGTATGGCTTCTTGATGATGTGTTGTTAAATAATGTTCCTCTTTTTTGCCACGGATGAACTACAAAAAAAAAAAGCCGATTTTTAGATGTCGTTTTTAATTGGAAAATAAACATGCCTGTTCATTACATCCAAACATTTTGAACACACAATGAATAGATAGTTTTTGACATTCAAAGACTTTATGTTCATTGAGTTTGTTGACTGAATTGAACTGTTCGGCACAATGCTCACATTTTGGATTTGGATGAGATTGATTTAAATGTTCCTTCAAAAGAAGAGAATATAATGCTTAGAAATAAAATGAGCATAACAAATGTTACTTGATAGTTATTTAAGATGCCACTCCATTGACAAAAAGAACAATCGATAGGTAATGATTGCATTTCACTTTTGAAACCTCGATCAAGTAGCACCTATACAACAAAAGATTATGTTTTTATTGATAGAAACTGGAATATATTACTTGACCATTTGGTGTTTCTGTTTGACATTGTGAATATTTGATTGGCGCTCTAAAGAAAACAATGAAAAATATGAATGCTATTCTCTAGTGAAATTTACCCTTGTTGAGTATCGATGCATGATTGACATAGTCGATGTTCACATGTACTCAATTGTACAGGATCTCGTAGTATCAATAAACATTTAGGACAAGTATATTTCGTGTCAAGAATATTTTTGTTTCGTGCATCAATACCAACCATTGTTTAAAATTAGCTTTTTAGAAATAACTATTAAATTGATATGAAAAAAATTGTATGAAATTTTAACTAGAAAATTATGGCGAATAGTTGATGTATTATTTTAGAACTATAAATATGTATATGACAAGAATATATTCAAAACAACAAAAGTGTTTTAATTACGTTTGAAATAGACAATGCTTTGAAAATAAAAGTTGACGACTATGACTTCTAAAATGGAAATCTGAAATATTAATATATTTTAAATTCGAAAATGAATTTGAATGTACAAAAACAAGTGAGAAAGATTCTAATTTATTAAAAGGAAATAGTCAGGGGTCTGGTACACGTCTATTTATTATAAATTCGAAAGCTGATTAAGTTCATCATCAATAGTTTCTGGTAAGTTTTAATAACTGTGTTAAACGTTTTGCTTAAAATCACAAACTTTAATTCAATACTTTAGAATGTGAATACAAAAGAACTTAAAGGAAGTTTTATATGAATAACGTCGCTATTTTCAAATAATTAACTGCGTAGGATTGTTCATCTTTCTTATTGGAAAATTTATGTTGAGATAAGCTATATACGTAGACACAGAGTAAAGATTAATATTATATATTTTTTACGTAGATAACGCAGAAGCAGACAATATTACGTGCTCTTCTTGATTTCCTTTTGCGAAAAAACCCAGATAAAAATATCTCAATGAAACGTAATCACGTTTCTCTTGTTACTTGCCGACCTAGAATATTGGACAGCCAATTATAATATATGCTGCATATTTCGCTTCAAAAATCGAATATATTAAACACAAAAATTATTTCAAAAAATTTTTTTTTGTCTTTAAAATATCAATTAAGATTTTTGCAAAATAATTTTCTTTGTCACTAATCGAAATCTATTGGCCACACTTTGTTACGAATAAGAAAAAATTTGGATATCTTAATCTTAAAGAAAAACCAAAATGATGAAAAAACAATATAAACATACTTGTTTCTCTCATTGAAGAAAAGTAGATAACCTGGTCTTTTCTATTAAGTTTCTATACACACTATTGTTCCATAACTTCAAATCAATAGCACATTCATATATCTTGTCTGGAAAATATCAGACATTTATCGGACGAATGTATAATACTAGTGGGTGAAAATGAAAACTCATCAAACTTTACAGTTTTGTTTGTGTAATATCACGGTTAATATTTCAGAGTAGGATTTTGAGTTGGGAACATGTGTAATAAAAGAATCCGTTTATTCTAATAATGGAAGACATGTTTAATTGTTTATTAGTAAAGAAACTTTTTTAGTTACATTTCCCTAGGGGAACATCTTGCAAGCAAGATCTTGATCAGGATCTTGGGCACAGATATGTGAGTAGGTCTTGGAAATTTAGCTACAAGATAATCTGATTATCTTATGACCACGATCTATAATTAGATCTTGGGTACAGATTTATAAGATTTTGTTTGAAAAAAAAACACGATTCAAAAATGACCACTATAGTTTATGGATGAATGTCTCTAAGGACTTCTGGAATAGCCTTTCCGATGTAAAATTCGATGCTGAACATGAATCTAAAGTTACACTTTTTCTAAAAACACGAGGAACCAACTTGGAGACCAATGATCATTTCGAAAAATATTCAAAAATGCAGGCGTGATGCAGATCTATGAATGGAGATCATATTTTCTTGAACAATTCAGTACGATCTAGTTTCGAACAGTGGTAAAAATAATCGTTAGTTAGTATTACTAAATCAAGATCTTACACTAGATTTTAAGATCTTGGATATAAGATAATCACACTATCTTACAGCTAAATTTGCCAAGATCTACTCACGTTTCTGTACCTTTTATCTTGGCTAAGATCTTAAGTACAAGATATCAGATCTTGCTTACAAGATGTTTCACTAGGATTAGCTATAAGTAGACAAATCAGAAAAAGTATTAATCATTTTATAGGGTAATAAACTGATTTCTAATGGTTGGAAGAAAAGTGGGAATTTTTTTGGAATGATTCATTATTATTTAGAATTCTGTATTAGTAGAAGATGAATAACAACAAATGTGACAGGGTAATATTCATATAGAGAAAATACCCAGAGAACGTACATCTCTTTTTAAAATTTGCGTTCTACAGAAAATCAACGAGATTGTATATTACGAAACTTGTTTCAAGCGAGAGCAGTATTTTTGACATCAAGAGTATTTGTCACATGGTAACTGCCTTTGCCTTTTATACACTCGAATTGATTCCATTATATTGTATGAAACGAAAGAATGGAATTCTGTTCTGGAAAAAAAAATTTTCTCCCACATATCCTAATAATTTCACCGAGAAAAAATTATAATTTCAAAAGATGCAAAGCAGTCCTCCTTTTATTGTTTTCAATCATCAGAAAAGCCATTAAAACATAAAGTATTAGGACTATGAAGGTTTATTTTATTATTTAGGATATAACTAAGCAATGAAATAATAGACGAAAACAAAAGAATAGGACGGCATCTCAATATTAGGAAACAAAAAATATCATTGGAAAAAGTACAAAATTTTCTTGCTGTGTTACATAAATAATTTTTTTTGTTTTAATTTGAAATATTAAAAGTATTTAGGAGTTTTCTTAGCTACAGTCAATTATAAATCTAGTGAACCAATACTCTTTTCATCTGTAAAAAGAACACATTTATGAAAAAAAGAATTTTTTTTCTCCTATACACCTATTGGTAATAAATGATTGAAGAATACGTGTAAAACAGAATTGTCCTGATATTATATTTCAAATTAGTTTTAATTACTCATATATATAAAGAAATACGATCTGTTTTTCAGATATAAATTATGAAATTAATTTCTACAAGCTGTTGTATCTTATATTAATGGTACTTCATTTTCAGAATCACTATTGATAAAAGTATTCTCAACTAAAGACTAAGACAAATAGCAGTTCTTCATACATTTTCACATGCATGATGCATCTGGAATAAACAAACGGGCACATTTATTTTGAGTATGATAATATCAAAGAACAACAGAGAATGATGAAATATTATGATGAATAATTGTTAACAAAAATCACTTGAGAAATTTTCTCTTTCTCCATGTAGATCAGAAGCGTGCAAATATTGCTAAGCAATAAATCAAATCGAACTTCTCTTTATAAATAATAGCTAGTCACTAAACGACCGGAGAAAAATTCAACACACAATAGAATATACCCATAACGAAAAACAAAATGTGAAATATTTTAAAAATATAAGTCAGAAAAGATACATATCAGTCGCGAGAAAATAGAAGAAGAACGAAAGATAGTACCAATTAATGGTATCCAAACAAATGATTGAAAAAAGAATTCAGAGAAGTTAATAACCAAATTTAGAACGGTTTGCAGAACTGAAACGTTGATTTTATCAAAGACTTTAAAGATCTTTTACTCATACTCACATGATCATAAGAAATCTACATCAATCTACTCGCCGGAAATTCTATCATTATTTATATGATAAGTGACTCACATATTCCCGACTTAGTTTGCATGCTTCACATTAGTGATTAACTATGACACACTCATTAAGAATGGGAAAAATAGTAGTCAATCACTGCGAGTTACTTTTGTCGTTCTGTTATTATAAGATGTTATCTATGCGAAGGAAAATTCGTTGTTTTTTTTCATTGTATCTCTTATATGTATACTAGAATGAATTTTTTTTGCACATGGATGACATCGTTTAATAACAGAACGACAAAAGTAACTCACAGTGATCTAGTGAATGAGTAATTGCTATTTTGTTTTTCATGTGTAGCTTTTTGTTAGCGTAAATAACATGAAAATGACACATAATGATGACTAGAGTCTAACTATCATACGTCTGTAATAGAGTATTCTCGGTAAACAATGCCTGATAAAAACACAGATGAATATTATATATTGAAAGTTGATCAGTAACTGCACAGCATTCACCCATTTGATTGATGATAGTGGGTGTTGGTTTCGTATATAGCCATTGTTAACACCGACACGCAGCCACACCCCACACCCCACACCCATCCACACCCTATCATCATTTAAAAGTTATTCAAAAAACAATCATCTCTCTTATACTTTGAATTGGACATTAGAATCCTATATAACTATTCATAAGCACGTTGTACATGGAGATGAAGTAGCTCTTCTTTGTTGGGAGACGATTCAAACCTACGTCAACGCTTGAGGATGAGGGTGATGGTGTGGGCAGATCACTTTTTCATTCTCACCCATCCCGTCACTCTCACCACTCAAGATAGTTGTGCTTAAACTGTCTGCTTCTGCTATATACATTCATGTAGAGATTCTCGGAGAAAATGGATACTAAGCTCTTGTGATCCTTTAATATAATATCTCACTCGCTGCTAGCTCACGCTGAACCAATATCCTTGTTGCACGACAAATGTTTATAGGTGAATAATGTTTTATATTTCAGAGTAAAAAATTAAGCACGTAGTGAGGAACATATTTCTAGTATGACAAAGTGAGAAGCTAGAGAAAGGAGATAATGACGAAGAAAAGAAAAATCGAGTTTCAACATGTCATTGTCAATAGCTATGATTTTAATCGTTGTCTTGATCATTGCTGTATGTGAAGACAGACACGTCGTTCCCAATGTATCGTTGTCGAGCAAATTTTTTACTCATACGCACAAATGATGACAAGATTCGATCATAATTAACACGAACAAGGTTCGGAAAGGCTTTGCGAAAGTGGACGGTAGCTTCCTCTGCAAACAATGAACATGAAGAAATAAGAAAATACTATTTAGACGGTGTGTATATGCATACCTAGATGATAATGAGGAATTTTAGGAAAGAGATGATGAATTTGATGTGTGCCAATTGAATGAATGATTGAATGAACATGACCATAATGACGATCGACAGTTGACAACTGTCCTTTGACATAGTTCCATTCGTCGTCGATAAACCATGGAACATTCCTAGACTCATACAAAAGATCCATGAAAAGATTAAACATGTCAATTATTTTCCCTAAATTTCAGTATGGTGCAACAGGGTGACAATGACTAGATATGTTGCAAAGACAAATACTGGAATAAGATGATAAACGACTAAATTGATAATACTCATATGAATTGCATAGATGAACATTAAATAAAGCTACAATTAAGAATAAGACAGATCTTTCATGTTTTTTTTATTTACCATTGCTGCATACGCGCTGAGCGAAAGACTGACTCCGATCAAATGCTGAGCGTAGATTGATTCAAACTAGAAATTTGAGGAAAAAAAATGACACTATGGTGGATCACTTAATTTGTGTCAGAATGGATATGTAATTACCGGATTGAAATGATTAACACCATGTGACGAATCACCACAGGTGAGATAATAGAACCATACGAGACCAGGTGTCCACAAGATGACCTTACTCGTCCAACTTGTGTCGCATGTTTCGCCACGCTTTGGATGATAACCTTCGTCCTTGTCCATATTACCTGTATTCTTGTGATGATTTTGATGAGTAATCTACAGAAAAATCATTGAAATCGAGAATGACAATACGCTAATGGCAATGAACCTTCCACGGATAATATGGAATGAATATCCATGTGAAAACTATGGTGCCTGAACAAACGAATGGTGCTATTATGACATAAGAAAACAAAAGCTAAAAACTGACCGATGCCATCGTTGAGTAAAGGATAGATGCTGAAACTAGCGTGAGCACAATCGTGACCAATTGAGAAGAGCGCCATGTATAGGGTACCTTTTATGCAAAACAACAGTACCAACGCGTATAGAAAATGATTCTACGTTCATATGATTTACCTTGCACATACCAATAGAGAGGGAAGAGTAAAAATCCGTATCTAAGCATGGTTTCCAATTGAATCATGAGAATATATGCAAGAACGATGAAGAGAATATCCAATATGGCATAGAACATTGACTTTAGTGTACTGGAACGGAAACATTGGCTAGGTATTTTGACTTTAATCTCAGATAAGGTAGGCAGTCGGTGATTGAGTGTCGCCAATGCTGTGTCGATGTTTTGTCGTTGATGACCAGTGTTAAAGCAATGCATAGTGTGTTGTTCTTCGTTCATATCGTTCTCGCAGATTTGGATGGAAGGTGCGGTAGCAGTGCTTTAAAAGAAGAAAGAGGCCCAATTGAAATTAGAACTTAGCAAAGATGCAAAGCTGAAATTGTACCCTGCTAATGTATAGATTTTAGTTCGGTTTCCAACAACTCTGCAATCGGTCAGATCAGCAAACCGCAGCTTTTCTTTCTATAAGTTAGAATATTATGTTAATAAAAAAGGCCATTCGATATATTCTTGTCTGCTGGTGAGAAAGACACTCCATTTATATGTGAATGTATTTCCATTTCTATAATCGAACATGTTATCTTCTTGATCAAAATTAACGATAAGTCTTCAAAGTCTCCCCCATTAAAGCATCAGAGCAGTCCTACCTAACGGATTTTCATCTCGTCCTTTTGTGAGACAAAACGAAATACACATAACAGAGTTTTCAGATAACTTCGACTATTCCTGACGCATTCACATTCCATTTTGTGCGGATTAAATTAGACTTGACTGGTGGACAGGTCATTTTGATTTTGACATAGCATGACTTCTAGAAATATCCGACTAGTTTCGACGTGACAGATATATAGTTGATGCATTTTTTCATGCTCTGCCTGAATATGACTTCAAAAAGAAGAAGACAAACGTAGAGCATGTTCAAATAGTGGAAATACCTGGATTCGAACAGAAAAGTCAAAAAACGAGCAGGTATTTCCAGACTATGATCAGAAAAAAAATAGTTTTAAGGCAAAATGCATATGATATTCAGAATCAGTATAGAAAACTGCATCAAGTAACATGGATTATATCAAAAAATAATTTTTTCATAAAAATTAGACTGAGGAGAACCACAGGCAAAATTAAATAAAAACGAGCCCTGAGGGGAAGTAGCGGTCGAATTTTGATGGGAAATATTTTTGGATACAATCTCTGTTTCAGAATGTAGTTTTGTATGTTGATTCCGAATATCATATGCATTTTGTCTTAAAACTATTTGTTGTTGGTCATAATTTGAAAATGCTGTTCATTCTTTTGACTTTTCTGCTGGGATTCCAGTATTTCTACTAGTTGAGCACGTTCCACATTTTTTTCTTCGCTTCGAGATTATATTCAGAGAGAGAAGGAAAAACTACAGCGAATTATATGTGTCACTCATTGAATGAAAATTTCATTTTCCTGGTACATGAAGTTAAGGGAGTCGAAAACCTAGTTTTTTGTTGTCTTTTCTAGTATTGTACACTAAAACTATCTAAAACTCGGCTTCAAACCAGAGTTGTAATTGAAAACGATAAACGGTCGGTATGAATTTTTTTGAATTTTTGAATGTGTTTTTCCAAAAAAATCGAACATAAAAGTGTGATGTGGGAAGCCGCTTAAATATACAATTAATTGATAATATCCGTGTCTGACGAACAGTTAATGAAGGTGGAAGCTGATTATAGATTTTGTAGTCTGATGAGTTTTCTGTTTATCGATAGATATCACGAGCGAGAGAAGATATGGAAATAAATTGTAAAAATCACTACAAACAGACCGTTATATCATTACTGTACTGTAGAGTTGTCTTTCAAATGACAGCAGCCCGATCTTTGTAGCTTGAAGTATACCGAAAAATAATTTGCGCACGTAAAAGCTCCATTTTTCACCTTGGTCTCTGGAAATCTCTTGAACGGTAAGGTTTGGAGACGTGAATTTTTTTTAGTAATGTGCTTCCATAGGCCGAACATCTGTAGAACGTTTCATTAAAATTCCGTGCACTATGTAGAAGTTTGAATTTCGAAGAGGAATCTTAAGAATGAAAGATCGTGATTTTTCGACTCCTCAGGTGAAAAAGGGTTAAATTCTCAAGAGCAGGCAGCTATAGTCCCTCTTTTCTATGTGTTATCAGAGTTGACCTACGTTTTGTACTTGGTCGATGAAAGATACGAAATACAGGTGACTGTTTCTTGTATTCTTCTTTTAATACTTGAAGAAGAGAAAAGATAGGCACAATTGTTATCTCATTCTTGTTATTGCTCAGAGTCCAAAGATTTGGTTGGCAAATGCATTCAGTGTTGTGAAACTATCTTCAAAATCACTAAATATGTTGTTGGCACGAATATATTAGATAAGAACCATTCCATGTAAGCTACGACCGAACCTGCTCAGTCGAGGCCGGGTGTGGATGTGTGCGTGAGTGTGAGTCTTAAGTCCATTCCAAACCCACACCCACACCCACACCCTCTGTGGAAAAATAATAATTTCTTGACAAAATAGGGTGCTCTCTATTGATAAATAAACTAAAAATTGAATACAAAATAGCAGTCAATGATCCATTGCAGAATTCGAAACAATATTGGTAAGAGTTTTCGACATTCACTTATCGGTGTATCATCAGTATTAGAAGTAGATGGGTGATATGAGGACCCTGATCAAACTTTGGAAAGTTAGATTGACATATAGGCTATGAAAAAAGCTAAGGCTTATGAACTTTTGGCTAAAGTCAAATCTTGAACGTTAAATCTAGAAAGAAAAGCCTTTCTTCAATTCTACGAATAATTACTAGATCGATGGTTGTAATCATCGAAATATATTAAAATTATAAAGTGTATAAAACTAGCTTTTTCGCTTTACATTTATTAATATGAGATCTCTATAATGAAAATAAGAATAAGAGTTACGATGAAAAGAATTATCTTATCAGTTCATTATGTTGAAACTAAAGCATGTCAAGAACCGAAATAAGGTCAAATTTATGCAACTGGATAAATTCCATTTCTTGTTGTTGAGTAGGACGGAAATCTTTTGTGTGCGTTTTTTCAAATATACATATAATTGAATAACCAATTATTTAAGAAAAACTGTGTATGATAGGAAATGAAATGATGAGCGTATCCTCGCTTTTATGGATGGCGAGATGTTACAAAGCTAATGATTTTTATGTTTTCATTTATTCAATAGTCTGTGGTTGAGATATTAAAGAAAAGGATCGTTTATAGTCACTCTACTGTATATATATGTCAAGATAAATAAAGAGGCAAATCAGTTCTGTTTTCAGTTATTCTTCGTCATCTTCGTCTTCCATTGCATCCTCATCTACTTCTTCCACATCTTCAATATCCGCATCATCATCATCTTCTTCTTCCTCGTCTTCCTCATCATCTTCTAGGTAATTAACATCGTCCTCGTCCTCCCATACGTCTGTTCCCATGTCATCTACTGCTAACTTTTTCACAGTCCAAGCATCATTACACAATCCTTTATTTGTCATGTAATCATAAGGCACATAACAATAGCCTTTATCACCCTAGTGAATATGAAAAAAGAAAAAACACATTCGACATACGAAATGAATAGTAACTTTAAAACATACCCATTCTTCTCCCCATGAATTTCTTACAATGAATGCTTGCGATTTATCGCTATAACCAGATGCTAGAAGAGCATGACTAGAATATGAAAGTCAATATTCAATTATATTGTTTTACTACATTACAAGAGTGTAGACAAATTATCAGAAAAAAAAGCAATTTAGATTTAAGCCCGTCAAAATTTGCAACTGCATTACCTTCCATGCTTGGAACGTGAAATCTCCTCCTTTTTAGGTATTGGTACAATTCCTTTCTCCATAGCTTTATCAAATGAACTATACAAGTTAAGACCAATAATCATAGGAAATCCTTGAGCAAGACAAGATTTCATTTCATTAATGTCAATGTCGACTTCAAGTGCTTCCGTAATGGTGTATTCTTCGGCAGCTTGATAACATTGTTTCTTAGGTTTCACATTGACTTTTTTAATACTATATGGCCATAGTGATTCAAGACATACACCTAATTCTTCCATACTTTCGATTGTAGCAGGAATGCTAGAACCTTCATCCGTTACTCTTTCATTTTCGTCGAGATCTTTAATACGAGCATTGTAATAGATGAAAAGACGGCTAACATCAAGTTTTCGATTGGTTGCTTTATAGTTCAAATACTCATAGGCACCAGCCATAGCATTTGCTGTGCTGAAAAAGAAACGACGATATATCAATGAGAAGTTTTGTTTTCGTAAAAAATTACATAATTTCTATTCCGAAAGATATTCATACTTCGAAACTATGAACCATCTTTTCGATTATCGAGTTTTATTTCAATGAAAACTAATATTCTTTTTATTTCTTGCAAGCATAGAACTATTAGGCAATCATATATATATTTGACTAACCAACTGTTAACATCTGATTGATCTTCAATAGTTGTCATCCATGGACGAAGATCGACTTTGTGTGGTAATTGTGATTGGTTATATTTAACGTATTTGGAAAAATCTTTATGTAGAGATTGTTTTTGAGGCATACGAGATGTTTCCTTAACACCATTCAAGCGAAATTTTTTATCTGTTTTTCGATCATGTAAATAAGTTTTCTTGATTAATACAGATTGAACAGCATGTATGAATCTTAAAATTAAAAACAAAATGGACTCTTTGTTCGACTTGTCAAAACTTCATACCTCTCTGCCATTGAAATCTATGATTTGTCGTTTACTGTAAAATAAAAATAAAAATTTTTCAAAACCAAATCTATTAAAATCATCTTTGTGAAATAAAGAAAATTAGAAATGTAAACTATATAGAATAAACGATGACATTAGTATTTGTTATACTAGAAATAATGTTAAAAAAAGAGATCAACATGTACTTTTATATGATTATTTAGTCTTAAAAATAGAAACTAAATAAAATTAAATCTTTTCTTTTTCAAAAATATCAATTTTTCTAGATTTAATTAAAACTACTTTTCGAAATTTATAGCTTTATATTGTATTGACATACTTATTCTCGTGCAACGAAGGAGTAAGAAACAATATAACTTGTACAACGATATGTATGCTTATTTTGTATTGGAAATCTAAATAGTTTACCTACCTTTTCTTAAATAATTGGTGTAATATTGACACACATTTGTCGTCGTTTTCTTTTTCTAAATACAAAATAATTTATACTCGTAATGCTAATGTATGCTTGTTCTATCGAACAGGTGTGCTCTATCAACAACCAAATCAAACCAAGGACAACACAATATTTTAATTACGTTCTGCACATCAAATGAGACACCGTGAATGAAGCAGCAAATTAAAAAAACCCACGATGAATCTCAATATTTTTGTGAAAGAGAAGAAAACGAAAACATCACACATACGTATAGGTGTTGTCTATCGAATACCTATTTCATAAATAAAAACAATAAAAAAATAATTTTCCTTTGAATTGAGAATCTGTAACTTACTGAGTTAATAAATAAACTAGGTTAAATTATAGATAACTCATCACAATATTTCGTTTTTTCCCGTAAATGAACCCATGTCTGTCATTATCGGTTGAATGTACATATAAAGATGATCAATATTATAACAAGGATGGCCGTACGGTGTGGGTGTAAAATTTTCCATCATCCACACTTGCAAACACCCACCCATACCCTTATGTTTCGAATACGGTCAGCACAAGCTATAGTCAATGAAAACCCTTTATGAGATTGTTTTTCTTTTCAAGCAACTGTCACATTCTACAATCATACTCTATGGAATGACTATTCAAAACTAAAATAAGATCTTACTTTACACTATGATAAATCTTCTGAAAGAAAAAGAACAATTCAAAAAGAGTAACAGAGACACATACATATTTCTCTTTTTGAGCAGAGAATATTTCAGTGAATTTTAGAATTGTAATAATCAGATGAGTAATGTCGAAGGGAGGATAGAATTAGACTTTTCACATTTTAAAACTTGTTCGAACAGGAAGTGATTTGTTCTATGGTTTTTTTTTTTTT